CCCAACCTAAACAAACGAAAAATCAAGGAATCCATCTTAATTGAACAAAACAACACCCCGGGGTGCCTAGATACCTTTTCTAAGTTTTGCTATATCCGTGTCAGTGTAAATTACTTGAACCTGATGATGACAAAACTTTGTCGAAACGTTGTACATTTGCTGTTATGTTAAACTTATATTAAAGTTTTTCTTCATTACCCATTCAAGCCATCTTCTGCCATTATTAGAATACTGGTCTGACTTCTTCAGGTAGTGTGTTCCACGATCAAAAAAATTTTTCCTTGTGCTTATAAATCATTGTTTATCACAATATGGTTCCTTACTCAAATACCTACATTTTCTCTCTCTTTTTATTATTATTATCTGTCACAAATGTAGCACACAAAAATCATTATATATTGTATTTATTAGAACCATAAGTGTGGTAATTATATAGAAACTACTTTGCGTCAAAGTTAAGTTATCATTGACATATATAGTACATAAAGCCTAATATTTTTCTAATCAGTGCACATAAACCATTTATGTTGTGGCTATCAGAGCCACCAGTGGGAACTTAATAATTATCTTAACAAATTCGTAATCAGAAATATTGTTCACAAAAGTTGACATGTCCTAACAACCACAGCCAGCATATAGCAAAATCTACTTAAAAGTACTTAGTTTGTCTAGTAAAAATGCATATTGTAAAAATATAACTATGTCTTAAATGATATATATGCTTCGCATATTACTTAAATAAAACTGTACTCACTTCCTCAGTCATCTAAACAGCTTGCCATTTTGAAAATTTATTAAAATCACATATTTACCTCAGAATATGCAGGAGGAGGCTGGTACTGGTAATCGTGAACATAGGCATACATTGGTGTGAAGCGGGTATCTCCAATAATGTCCCCATCATCATCATCATCTGTTATGTCAACTGATCCTTCTACACATTCAGCATAAGTGGGGGGTGCTAAAGAAATGGAAATATAAAAACAACTTTTCCTAGAGGTGATCCAATCAATCTTACAGACTGAATATTTTTTTTGGTGTGAGAATGAAAATAGTGGCATTACGTTAAACTACAAAATAACTTGTAACTAGTTTTCTTATTTAAAAGTATATACAATACTGTAGATGTTCTTTAGTTTTGTGAAAATAGTTACAGAAACAACGCAAGTTTCAAAATAATATAATACAGAATTGCCATTTCATAAACTAAGCAAGTAAACTTTACTGGCTACTAGCAACCAAATATTTTAATAGCTACGTAATCATGGCCAAAAATTACCATGGTAGCAAACTAAATAAACTTATAATAAATGTATTTGAAGAATATACTCTCTAAAACCTGTTTAGAAGCAATAGGCTATTTCAAAGCCCATTACTGACCATGAAGAGTCAGCATCCAACCTTTGTTTCATTTACTTAAGTTTTATATCATCAGTGACCAACACAGATGGTTCACGATATTAAGATGATGCTTAAGAAACAACTAATAAAGATTTTTACTTTCTAATGATACATATATCACATTTTGAAAAATAATTATATATATGAACACAATCCTGAACTCCAATTTTACTCAAATTAAATTGGCTTATAATAGCTTAATTTTACGAATTCTGAAATTTATAACACATTTACATATTCTATAGACATAAAAACCATATGATGTAATGCAAAGCCTACTGATACAGGACTCACGTTCGTAATTAGATCTATAAATCGAAAATATTAGGTTTCAGTTTCTTCTAATTCAAATTGTTAAGCCCAATTTGGTAACATAAAATTACGTAATATATATTCTTAATTATTTGAATAATTAATTTACACTGTTTTTTTCTTACTTGTCCATTGGTGGTTTTTCAGCTATTTCTGTAATTCAAATCGCACTGAGAAAATTCTTAAAAAGATATTTCTCATGCACTTTAAGTAAACCAAGTAGCTTTAGCAACTTAATCGAACATGTTCAACTTTTCAATTCCCTTAACACTTCTCTCTGCTTCTAATTATAATTCAGGTGTATTTATTTTATTTTTTTACTTTTTGAGCTTTCATTCAGTAAGTAGAAACATCCTACAAAAGTATATACATATATGATACATATCCATTAGCTTACGTTCATCGGGAAGCGAGGACAGATCCAGCTCACTGTAAGGTGGGGCAGGTGGGTAAAATTCCAACCTTGATTCATTAAGTCTAGAAAGGTCTTCTACGTTGGAAGAAAGTGCCCTGTAATTTGATGGTCGAGTGCGTAAGGGAACTGTTCCAATTACCACAGGTAAGTCCACTGATAAGTTGTATGCACCTGGTATCTGTAACGTCAGCTGCAAGTAGAAATGAATTTTCAACAAAATGCTCTGACATGGGTTAATAGCTAACAATCATATTTCAGTAATCTGGTATGAAGTAAAAGTAAATACCATAAATAGTTGGGAATTTGAAACATTTACAGTGAATTTACATAAATAGCAAAAATATTTGCTCCAAACACAATGATGAAAAAAGTACAAAGAATTAGGCTTCACTACTTACGCATGCAATAAAAGTAAACAAAGAAAATGATTTGACGTGGAAAGAAATACACCTACAAAGATGACTTAACAAGGAAATATGGAAACTATTTCGTATCAGTGAACCGATATGGAGTAAGAGAAAATAGATAAAATGAAAATTCCTGACCAATATATACTGCAATTATAATAATACAAGATAAAAGATGTTAAGAGCATATAAACTCAGAATTACAAGTTATTTCCAAATATCTACCAGCACTTTTTAATTCTTGATAAAGGCCTACCTTGAAAAGTCATTTGGTTTAAAAGACTTTTTTAAACTGCGAGTTATATGTTGTTTTTTTAAGCATCTAGATACCAACTTTTGACAGTGAAAAATTATTCTAAATAAAACATTCAAGGTTGCATGCTTGTTAAGAGCATCAGTATGTTATACCTTGCCCTTAGAAAGTTTATAGTTCTTAAAAGAAAAATACACAAGCTCTAATAAATACTTAAGATATTTTTAATGTAAAGTATTTTGTTACAAAGGTAATAAATTATTCAATTCTCATCAACAAAGCACTATTATGTTCGGCTGAAGGCTGCAGCTAAAAAGCTTACTTTGCAGCTAATACACTGTGGCTAAAAATATCAAACACTGAAATTAAAGCTTTGTACCATGAATGATATTTGGAAGACTTACCCTAACAGCATAATCTACTCTTATTAGACAGCTGTTGATGATGGAGGGTGAAACAGCTGGAATTTTCAGCAGCTGGGCATCCCAATTTGCCGTTCTTCCTGGCTGAATAGCTGGTCCTGTGACAATGGTAAACTTTGATATGCGAGAGCGAGACTTCCCACCAGCTATGAATGTCTGGGTTTGGTGAAGGGTTGCATGAGGAATGATGGTTCTTGAGGAAAGATTTTCAAAGTCAGCAGTGATAGCTATTGATTCCCCTTACAAAGAAACAATAAACAATGACAGTCAGAGAATATCATAAGTACTTAGAAAAGAGATTATCCACACCCAAGAATAAACAATGGCAGTCAAAGATTATCATACGTACTTATAAAATACATTAACCACATCCTAGAATAAACAATAACAGTCAACGAATATCATAAGTACTTAGAAAAGACATTAACCACATCCAAGAATAAACAATGACAGTCAAAGAATATCATAAGTACTTAAAAAAGACATTAACCACATCCAAGAATAAACAATGACAGAGAATATCATAAGTACTTAGAAAAGACATTAACCACATTCAAGAATAAACAATAACAGTCAGATTCGATGACAAAGAACCCACTTCGAGACTAATAATGGTTGGAGACGGCTTCAACAAGGTTTTGTCATCATCAGGTACTGATGATGTACTGATGTACCTGATGATGACAAAACCTTGTCGAAACGTTGTACATTTGCTGTTATGTTAAACTTATATTAAAGTTTTTTGCCATTACCCATTCAAGCCATCTCCAACCATTATTAATAACAGTCAGAGAATACCAAGTATTTAGAACAGATATTAATCACATCCAAGAAAAAACAATGATAAAAAATGACAATGACAGGCAGAGAGTATCGGGTATTTAGAAAGGATATTAACTGCATCCAAGAAGAAACAATAAACAATGATAAAAAATGAAAACTACAGTCAGAGAGTATCGGGTATTTAGAAAGGATATTAATCACATCCAAAAATAAACAATGACAGTCAAAGATTATCATAAGTACATAGAAAAGACATTAACCACATCCAAGAATAAACAATGACAATGATAGTCAGAGAATATTGGGTATTTAGAAAGGATATTAACCACATCCAAGAAGATAGAGTAAACAGTGGAAATAATAATATCACAGGCAGTTTTAAGCTAATATTATTAGTATTAAATATCAAAGTCAAAAATTAACTTTTTAGTTTACTCTCACTTAGAATATTAACACCATTTCAATTATTAAGTAAATACCTTTGAGAAAACTATCTATAATTTGTTTTTAAAAAGAAACCTTAATGTAATTAACATCACTGTTTTACCTGGACAATAACCTTTTCTGTCTGTGTGTGCATACAATGATATGGGCCCTGAAGTACAACACCAACAACATAACGTTTTTTCTATGCTGTTCTCAACTGCCATCTGTACAAGACATTTTAATGTGTTTATCAGTATAAAATATAACATACAGACAACCGATGTTTTCTATATGACTGGAAGGAAAGAAAACTCATCATATTGATCATACACAGAACATTTTTCATTTTACACCTCTACAAACTTTTTAATATAAACATTTTCAAACAAATTCAAATTAATTCATAAACAATGCTTTTCCAATGTATAACATAACTAAATCGACTATCACATAATCATTATAATTTCATTAACTTCTGGAAACTGTGAATCTCTTTACAGACGAAAATACCATTCCATAACTGTTAAAAATATCAATTTCAACAACATACAAAGCCACAGAGGATATGTTTGCTTAAATAATAAAAACAAAGAAAGCCATTATTATCAATCCAATGTACTAGTTTGCTTTCAATTCTAAGTTTACATTAGAAAACATAGACATGGAATAGGTTTGAAACTTCATTCAGCAGGAAAACTGTCATTCCATCTATCTTACTGATTTAGTATTTACCTTTCGTGAACTGACATCGATATTCTTCTGCAGTAAAGATAGATATCAATTCATAACTAGGATATTTGTATGTGGATCTTTTCTCTACAACTTTGGTTTATATACAATCTCCAATTGTATAAAATACAAATAATTGATTATCAACCGATTGATCAAAGCAAGCCACCTATACAGATCATGATTAAAAATCAAACCAATAATTAATAAAGCTTATTTAATTTTTCTTTTCTTACTTATAATGATTAAAATGCATTGTTTCATCATCAGTTGGGTACCCTCAGAGTTAGAGACATTTTTAACTGCCATCCCAAAAATACCATTTCAAAATAATTCTTTTCAATACGTATTACGCATAATTTCATTTCTGTGACTACTTATGTTGCGATATATTAACCAACAACCATCTAAGTGCTTACTCTAAACCAACTAAGGACACAATAACTGAACATTCATTTTGGCATCTGACTGAACATTTTTCTGATACTGCTGTGATACTGACTGGCTAAATATTAAGAATACTCAACCAAATATTTCTTTATTGAAATTATAACATTTAGATGGTTAAATCAGATAATAGGAATAATAAAATTAATTTTCAATAATGCAAGGGACTTAGACTTGTACGATTACAGATTAGTAGCACAAAAACACGTTTACTGTGTTATCAAAATAAATTTTGTATACAACAGGCTGCATATTTTGTATATTAAAATGATTTCAACGAGAATAGATACTCACAAGAATTATTGGAAATTCAAAACTTGGACCCCTCTCTAAAAGTTTTTTTGACTGCTAAAACAGAAACTCTACTCATAAAAAAAAATTGTTCATTTCCACTATTATTATTTATCCAAAACATGTTTAAAATGAATCTGTATGATAGCTGTCAGAGAAACTATATCTTCCCCCTGTTCCAATTTATTCACATCTATTAAGTGAAACCAATAAAAAAAAAATATCTTGACTCTCTGACTGGAAAACAATCTGATGTAGGAACACAGATCATGAGACTTGCTATTTGAAACGTTTTTTTTCTGCAACCTTGAGTTTTGAAAATGTTTCCTAACAAACGTATTCTTTTTTTTTTTTTTACTTTTGGGAGGAAGGTTTTGTTGTATTATTTACATGAAATCAAATACAGTATAAGCATTACAGAACATTACAAATCTAGTTTTAGGATTATTAAATACTGAAATAATGTTAGAAGTTGTTACTTCAAATTCATAATCCATTAAATTAAATTAGTTCTTTGATGTAATATGAACAACTTCTGTCATATAGGCATGAAAAGAGAGTTCATATTTTGGAATTTTAATTGCATTTAGCACCATACCTTAAGTGGTATGCAAAGATCTGTGTTTTAGGCCCACAATCAAAATTCCAAGTGAAAATAAATAGATATTCCCTTATTATGCTTTTATCTTTGTAATAAAATTTGTGTCGATATGAGAATATACTGCATGTATAGTTGAAAGTTTGTTTATGGTTTATATCTATCAAACAGCTCAACAGTTGCCTTTATTAATGTAGGTTAACAATATATTAAATATATTAATTACGTGACCTGCTGTTTTCCATGTTTGACCTGACAGTTTTCATCATGGCCTAGCACTCTGACCTTTAAACAAAAATGCAATATTTTGTTTATTGGACATATCAAAACCTCCTACTAATTCAACTCCTGGAGATAAAGATAATACAGTGAGGAGATTTTATTGGAATAACCCCCCCCCCAACTTTCACTTATGGTTTGCACACTGTTGAAGCTAAAGCAAATCAGTAGATGAAATGATGACTAATATTTTATGTTTGAGATGAAATAGCAAAAATAGAAGAAAATTTCAAATCTTATTAAAGAATATTTTTCTTTATTTATGAATTACAACTGACTCCTATAAATATTTTTGTTTAAAAACAAATTTTGGTTTTTACTTTGTGGTACCCCATCTTTTAAATTCATTTGTTAGAATTAGTACTAAGGACAATTAATTCACATTGATGGTTGAAACACAACAATTGTTTACTTTAATAACCCACAATGAAGTTTGGGCTATGAAAGTATTACACATATTGGACAAAAATACATGGGGAATACTAATATAACCATACAATGAAGTATTACTATAAAAAGCTGTTTCAACTTAAAAATGAAGCCAAACAAAAGCAAAATAGATATGCAAGAAACATACACATTAAAAGAGTAGTCTACTTATCTAAATTATTTATTTTGTCATACGACCTTGTGTATAAAAACATCTTTAACTTAGTTTTATAAAATAATGTAAAGTGAACCATATATTATTATAAGTTCAGCAAAGCTAAAATGAGTTTTGTTTTTAATTCAACATATATCATGAATAGTAATAATCTTGTATTTAACAATATTTATAGGGTATGTAACACTGTCATTACCGGATAACTTACCATATATTCTGTCCTATTTATGTCGATAGGACTAATCACCGTAAAAGCCTTTTTAGTTTTATGATTGAATGTCCACGGTTTCTCCACCTCTGCCTTTAACCAATAACGTATGCTGCCATATTTACCTTCAAATGATGTGGAAATACCCCTAATACATAATAAGTGAAATACACAGATTTAAATTACTTTTTTCATAAGAAACACCAAACATAATTTAAAATAATAACAATGGATTAGATAATTCAAAACATTTTAGTGGACTAGATATAAATGAGATGCTATACAGTTTTTTAAATATTTCTTAACTTGTGAATTGTTACAAGTTATTAAAATTACTTGCATTAAATTGAAAATATATATAAATTTGTGTATTATCCAGTAATTCAAAGTAAGTAATATATAAAATAATAAATTTATATGATGTATTGTAAGTTACGTTTTCAATGTTTTAATTTAGATGTTTGCTAGAGGTAGCTGCTAATTATGATGAGGATGTAATAATTGAGAAACCTTGACTAATATCTAGATTGGTATATTAGTTATAAATATGAATGTTAACTAATGAATGGGCATTAGTTGGTTCAGTGATTGAGAATTCTGAGAAATCTTCAGTGTATGAATGATCGAGTAATTGTTGATTAAGAGAAGATTGGTCAAGTAAAGTTATTTGTGAGTTAGTACTTCTGTAAGCTAATCAGTAAGTTAGACAACATTTGTTATAAACAAAAGAAATGTTTGTTAATTGTTATTAGTGTATTAGGCCTATTGTAGCTTTAGAGCAGTGGTCGGCAACCTTTTTTGATTGCAGTTCAATTATATTTTTTGTAAAAATATAGCATTGTGTTGGGTCACCGATAGTCATATAATTTTTAATATCGGTAAATGTATTTAAACGTGTATGTTTATTTACATACAATAAACAAAATTAATTATATTCAAAAAACAAACAAGATGATTCAGTCACCAAACAACAAAAAATAAAGTTCTTGAATGATTTTGCAACACATAATTTAATGACTTCCTTAGTACATTTTTTACACGTTGTTCAGTCTCAGCCAGGTGCAGATTAGCTCACCTGGATGCTAAGCAATTACCCATTGGGCTGGTACATTTGATGCACTCTTAGAAATTGATTTTAAATTTTAATTATTTAGCCATTATACAGTGTGTGAAATTGTCCGGACTGGTCCTATAATGCCAATCCGCCCCCGGTCTCAGCCAAGCGAGTAGCGAGGTGGCAATGCACACGTCATTCAGTCTGGCACCCTGCAGCCATGATGACAGTGAAAGAGAAACAAAGCAACTTATCTTGCCTATACATGTTCTGTTGTCACAAATAAAACACTACTGTCACTTATATATATAGCCTGAAACTCTTATTTACTTGTAAATATAAATAATTTGTCATATACTCACCTCAAAACCTATAAAAACACCGAAATATATCACACACAGCACTTTCCACCAGACAAGCAATGAATCTCTCGATTAATGACAGCACAGTAAACCTGAAGCATTACGGTCAAAAGTTTTATCACAGTTAATTCGACCAGCTTGAATATTTTTCCCTAAAATTGATCTTAAAATTCTCTGTTGTCATGACTCTTTCCTTTAATATCTTTGTTCTTCTCACATAGGCAAGAAATTTGAACTGAGCAATGACTGTGCCCTAACGGGTTGCAATGGTGAAACAAACTTTTGGTGGGTCAGTCAAATCATTGCCACGGGCCATAGGTTGTCGAACATTGCTTTAGAGTTTATTTTTTTAAATATTTTGTAAACTTAGGCCTACAACTTGTATAAAAATTAATGCAGCCTATAGCAAATATTATAAAAGAAATAAACTAATATGTTAATGTTATGTGGACTGGACTCGATATTTTTATTAAACAATCCAAAACACCAATGACAGAATATGTTACAACAGATGTATAAAAAGTACATTTGTAAAACAGAATAATAGTTTTGATGAGCTTGAAATTTAACTTTTACTTACCTGATAATGAAAGAGTTATTACCTCTGCCATAAAGAGTTTGCACACACCACAACCATTGAACAAAGCCCTCACCCCCCTATAAGTATTAATGCGTATTGTGCCAGCCTATGATTTAATCATCATAGGACCATGGCCCTTCATCAACAGGAGGGCAACACATGCTCCATTCACTATTATTTGAAAAAAGGCTCATTCTTGATGAGGCCAAATAAATACACTAGAAATGGAAATGAAGGTTGGGAGGTTGTACAGAGAGGTAACTATCTGGAAAAAATTTTAACTTCAGAAACATTTACTCACCTCTCTGCACAGCCTAGTGGGACATCACTCAATGTGAGACTGCATCCATCTCAAGGATTATAATGAGCAGATGGAGATAAGAAACAAAAATACATGAAGGAAAAAGAGGAAATCCCCAAGATGAAAGAAGATACTCAAATGATGGAGACTCATGCAACAAGATGGCCCAAGATATAGCAAAAAACAACTGTAGAAAGAGAAAACAAAACACACATACCTGTGTAATCCAAACAGTGAAGGAACAAAGGTGGGATTACTTGAATCTCATTAGGAAGAGGGAAGTAGAATGTAAAACAGGCATGGAAATAGCATTGGTGAAATTCTTCAAAAGATGAGGTAGGCTCAAGTGAACTAACAGAAGCAGGAGATCAGAATGGAACCAACTGAGTGCACAATAGCACTGAGTGTCAAAGTACCTCCAATTGCCCTTACAGTATTGAATGATTCCTGTTGAGGAAGGTCAGAAGTTTAGGAGATGTCAGAAATGTGGAAACATAAGTCAGTAACCCAGATTATCTATAAATCTGATTTTTTTAAAGAAGAAGAAATAAAATTAGGTTGGTATGTTGATAGTGCATAAGCCTAATAACAACATTGAAGATTACTTAATGAAGCTAGTATACTATGTTAAAACAATGGGAACCAGTATTGTCAACAAACCTTATCAAAGACAATGGGACACATGTCCCAAAATTACAAATTTTATTGAAAGCAAAATTCAAATTGAATATAATTTAATGTAAAGTGCTAACTGAAATGTTTAAAATTTAGTATCTCTCTTTATCATAATTAAGAAAATTAAAAAAAAAAGAAAGACTACACTATCAATGGTAGGAAAAGTTTAAAATAATAAGAACAAAACTGACATTAATTCCTAAGGAAAGATACATCTGAACAAAGCAATGCTAAGAAATGATTAAGCCTTTGTTCGAATGCAAGTGCTCATGGGGGATTACTGTGCATAGAGGATGTGTGACCCTCCTATTGGTAGTGGACTATAGTCTAATGATTTTTACATCATAGGCTGTCATAATATGTTAATACACATAGAGGTGGAAGCTTCGTTCAAGGCTAGTAGCATGTGCAAAAATCTTTACAGCAGATAATAGCTCTGTTGTGCTTTAAGGGTGAGTAAATGTTTCTGAATCTTTATTCTTAACTGCTTTATTTAGCATGTTTTTATTAAAGCTATTACAAGTTTCAACATCATATGAATTAAAAACCTGTATATTAAGGGAAAAGCATCCTACTAAAAAGAAATTATTTTTTAATAAAAACTAAATTAAATCAAAAACAACAATCAACAAAATGTTAAAACAAAAATAGGCTCATAATTCAAAATTTCTCAATATATATATACCAAAAAATTTATTTGGCAAAATTAAAATTAGGTACAGAAATTACATTTGCAAAGATTTAAAACTTTATTTTTAACTGCTTTAACATGCCTTTTATTAGAGCTATTACATTTACAAGTTTGTTTCCACATCCTAAGAAAACCTGTATCTTAAGAGGAAAATGCCTTGCCAAAATGTTTTTATGAAAACATTTATACTTCCTCAAAATTGATTATCTGTTATACCAAAAAAATTAGTTCAACAATACTAAAATTATTTATTACTACAGAAATACCAGCAACTTGAATTTAAAAAATAATTTTACAGTCATTATATAAACACAGTTTTAATAAGTGATTAATTTATTCATAAAAAACGTATTTTTCTCCACTACAAAACTGTAAAAGTCTAGCTTTGTCCACAAACTCACCCAGATGGAAGTTGGAAGGAAAATGGAAATTCATGATGACCTTCAGCTAGTACCTCGCGTCCTTCTCCAGTATCTGATTTATAAAAACAATTTATTTCAGCTATTTATTTATGCTAATAATGACAACAAATACCCAAACTTCAATACAATTTAGTCTTCCTTTGATATTCATGTACAAAAACTTCAACTTCAATATTCGTATGAAGACTTGATTTATAATTTTATAACTACACCATACACAGTAAAGTAATATGAATGAGCTAATTAAAACTATGTTTCCTATGCCCTTAGTCACAGCAATAAGAAATCTGTTCCTTTAGTAGCTGTAACTAGGTCACTGGGGTCCAAACCTTTACACTACAGACTACGCAAAAACATTCATTTTTCTTCCATAACACTAGGCCTATCTGGAGATTAACATAGAAAAAAAACTGGCTTGTTGCCATACAATCTTCACTGCTGACAGTTTATATTGGTCACATGACTATAACTAGAATAAACCTGATTTAAACAGTGGAAATAAAAATTTTTTGCTTGAAACACATATTGATGACAGAAAATTTGCTAATAACACACTTTTCTTGTAACAGAAAAATGTAGACTTTTATATAAAACTTTTACTTTGTAGCTATACTACTTTTAAGTTTTATTGAAGCACACAATATACAAATAAATTTATAGAAACAAATAAAATTACAAAACCCCAAATAAAGAAATCACCATGTTTACCGAAACACATTCAGTTCTTTCAAATGAAACCATCATCACAATCCATAAAATCCAGAATCTCTGTGTAACCAAAAATCAAATTTTTTTAAAGAAATAAAAAAGCAGTGTTGTTGAAGGCTCTCATTCACTAAATTCAGGTTCATTCTTTGAATAAAAACGGCATACTGTACTATACAAATTAATTAGGTAACAACTACCAATGATGAAAATATGCTAGTTTTTACATTATTATTATTATATTCTACTTCACTGAGAACAAAAAGTGTTTAACCTGAACTTTGTTTACATTTAATGGCTGGAGACGGCTTGAATGGGTAATGAAGAAAAACTTTAATATATGTTTAGTCATAACAGCAAATGTACAACGTTTCGACAAGGTTTTGTCATCATCAGGTACTAAACCTTGTCGAAATGTTGTACATTTGCTGTTATGTTAAACTTATATTAAAGTTTTTCTTCATTACCCATTCAAGCCATCTCCAGCCATTATTAGTCTCAAATTGGGTTCCTCAAAATCGAATTTGTCTACATTTATTTTTACCATAACATAATCTAAGGACAACAAGGGATCACTGACACAAACTGTATAGTATTAGGTTAAGCTTTCATTTTCAAAATATTAGCATAATAAGTATTCCATCAATCTTTATCATCATTTTATGTTACCTCAAACATACAAAACTTTAACTCATCCCAAATTTCATGCTGATAAAACTTAGTCTCGTAAAAGCTTGAGCATGCCTGCCTTAAGTTATTCAACTAATACACACATAGTTTAAACCTTAAAAGCATAATGATATGGCAATACCCAAGAGGCAATAATGCCAACAATTAGTTCTGACAAGTGTCTGAACAACACTATTAACATGTATCAATTGCAAACATTAGAAAGATATAAAAATTTGTGAGTAGAGACACATACATAGGTAGTAGCCAAACTACCATTTTTAATAACTGCTAAAACAGAAGAAAAAAAAGTGTTCAAGTGCCTTTTACCATTAACTTTTGTTTGCAAGTAATTCTTACATGATAACCACATCATTTATACAATGCTTCAAAGAGTTTCAAATAAATGTGAAATGAAATATATTTCAAATTCGAAGAATCCAGTGAACATTGCAAAAGATTGCATTAGACAAAATACCTAACTTAAAATTATTTTTTTCAGGCTTTCTGCATACTATTATCAAAGAACTACTCAGTCTTTTCTAAAGTTACCATTTTTACACCAATATAAGAAAAGTTTTAAAGCTCAGCTGTAAAATGTTTTCTTCAATAACGTTCTATACAGGCTACGTTCACTGGTAGACCCAACTTCACAAACAATTGTTCAACAGAATTTCTGAAATTAATGTCTAGCTCACAAATAAAGCTCAAATTACTTACAAAAGTTTTTCGCTAATCAATATATAACAACATGCTGACTAACTCCCTAACTTACTAATCAACAATAATCAACTAACTCAATGACTGAATCACTCATGAATGAGCTAAATGTATTGTTGCTTCAGCGAGTCACATGACTACTGTGACGCAACGTTTCTAGAACTATCATGTACTTTGGCG